ATTATTGAAAGGTCAGGTGTACAATGTGGCCCACGGATCCCAACTTCTCTAACATTATGCACTTATAAATACAATAAGTTATTTTAGACAGAAAATCACGAATCCGACCGGTTGCGAAAACTCCAAACAAGGCGAATCACTAAACACCAAGAACAGATTAAAAGATTTCTTATCGATCCTTACGACAAATATGGAAGAATTGAAGGGCACTTCTTTATATTTGCATAAAATTTAATGTGAACTGGTAATCTAGTATAATGTTTATTGTCCAAGTAACAAATAAATTACATGCCCTAAAAGAATGAACAAAAGAAATTGAAGGGTACTTCTTCAATGTTGGTATATGTTAAAGTAAAAAATGGAGAGCAGGTGAAAGACGCCTTGGAGTGTAGAGGTCAACAACTCGTTTGTTGATGGGCTGCGTTGGCCTCGCGTTCGCCTCAGCTTCCTGTAACATAATTAGACACAATTGGTACTATTTATTTAATAGGCATCATGCAAAATAAATGGATCACTAAACTAGATAAATCATGCAGTAATGTATATATATAATTATGAAAGTTGAAAGGCTTACATCATGAACCGCAGCCCTCAAGAGCCTCAGCTGCTCTCTAGAGACCGTCCTCACCTGAAATTAACATTATCAAAATTTAAATTGGAGTGATTTACTTACTGACAATAAAATTTATGTAAAATACGAAATGCTCAGCATATAGGTGAAAATTAAAGTAAGTTGGTCAACCCATATTTTGTTTTTAAAAAAAAAAAATTGCCCTTCGATCGATCTGAATTTTCATTATTTCTTTTTTTAATTATTTAGTTGGTAGAGCTTGGGTAGTGCCCTGCTAACAAACAAACTAGTCCTTGCTTATGCTTGGCTACATTAGAGAATACCAAAAGAGGGGAGAGAGAGAGGTAGCAAGAGAGAATCAGTGTGCGAGCTTTGAACAAAGTCAGGTGGAAAGGGGCCAACATTGGGTGCAAATCCTGGTAAATCTCGATAGAGAGAGGAAATTGCAATAAAACATATTTAGGACGAAGATTTAGAGAGAGAGTCGCAAACCTTCTTGACTATATTCCATGCAACGCCTTGTGTGCATGGTGGAGTGGTAAGAGAGCCCATATATCTGTAATACTTTCTACTACCCATCTTTATGTGCCTTGGATCCACCACGCCCACTTGTGCTTCAGCATTTTTAGAATCCGCAATAGATGATATATTACCCATGAGCTGAAATGATCAAAGAACCGAATTCTTTTATTTCTTCAATCGCACACAAAATCGTCACAAATTTTGTTAGTAAAGCAATGAAGAGAGAGAAAGAAAAAGGAAAAGCATGTCGACCAACGTAGATAAATTTGGGATGGAGAAAGAGACGATGCTACATACTGTGTTTTCCAGTTATTTCTATCCCTAATTGAAAAATATTAAATTTTAAAAACGGTGCTGCTCAAGCAGATCTATAACGATTCAATCTTTAAAATAGATGGTCTAAATAATATGTTATAAAATATCATAAATAAGTTGGATTTTGAATCTAAAATTTGAAAATCTAAACTATGATTTGCATGAATCTGGAAAAAAAAAGTTAGTGGCGCGCGAATCACTTTTCCATGGAAAAGTGTTTAGGGAAGCATTGGAAAAGAGAAAGGAAGCAAAGTAAAAAGAAGAGCATTGAAGTTTGTAGGCCTACCGCAGACGGATAAGAAGCCTTAACAAAAACGGAGAGAAATCCTATTTTTAAATGGATTTTCGGCTAGAGACCATTTATTTTTTGGAAATGTATACGAGATCATTTATTTTTATTACAAGGAGCTCACAACTACTATTGATCATTAGATGTAAAATCGGGTGGTTAAGAATGGGCCACTAACTAGACACAATGTCCAAAATAAAAACTTTCAAATGTTATGACACATTTCCATCCATTAAACATTACATCCAATAGCTAGTAATGATTGTGACTTTTTTATATAAAAAATAAATAGTCTTCGGAAGGACGTCGACTTTTGCACTAATAAAGAGAAAACACTGTTAGACAATTAATTACCAAATAAAACACCGTTAGAGAGTGAGCATGATTACCTCCTTAAGAAAGGTATCAGGTCTGCCAATTTTATAGGTAATCCCAACCACCGCATTCTTCCCATCTTTGCTTTGGTGAACCAAGTGCACCTCTAAATGGTATCTTAATCAAACAACCCCCAATTTTTTCCTTCAATTGGGAAGTAAATGTGAAAAGCCCTAAAGTTTTGCAATAAGTGCGCGACAGGACAAAAAGGTCACAGAAGGAATGATGTCAAAAGGACAGAGACCCATGCATTGCATAATTGATTAATTAATTTACCTTGAACCATTGAAAGTGTGCTCGGAGGGTGAATGCCAATGACATTGCTTCAGAACATACTCCGTTTGGTTTATTTCAAGTGTTCCAGCTCCACTTTTCCCCCACTTAAGCTGCCACATCAATTTATAGTTACACACATAAACAAGTAGAGAGAAAACAATGTTTAATTAAGTTCAAACAACACAATAATGTTTAATTAAGGCTGCGGTTTCAATAAAGTTGCAACCTTAAACAATCCAATTTAGGCGTACTTCTAAATTTTATTACAACATGTAATTTTGATGTACAATTTTTTAGGATTATCTGAAAATGTATTTTCATATCTAATAATTAAATTTTAAATTTAAAAAATAGTTAAAATCATGTAGATCTATAAACATGTGAAAATCTTGAAAATGGACAGTTTAGATAATGTGTTGCAAGATGCATTATATTTGCGACTCAAAATTTCCTTTTTTTTACACATTCATACATCTCGATATCAAGATGATCAATTAGAACGTCTTTTAACATTAAAACAACCTTTTTCGATAGATTTTGGAGGTGCATTGTACTTCTACAGTTGCAACCCTATATAAAGTTTTCCCTTGATTAAGTTCAAACAACACATATAGAGAGAGAGATACCATTATATCATGGCCTCTGTTCTTTAGGATTGCTTTAGCGGGCTTATATTTTCTCTGTAATCGCCCCAAATTTGGCAGAACCTCCACCCTTTCGTGAAGCAGGTCAATGGGAGACTGCATATCCCCATTGCTACAAGCCCTCCATTCGGGATAGAGCTCGCCCCAGTGCTTTGGCCCCCTTTCACTGTCTTCCAAATAATCAAATTCTCTCTCATCCTCTACCATTCATCAAACAAAAACTTCATATGAGAGAGAGAAAACATCATGTGAGAGAGGATACAAAAGTAAAAACCAGAAATAAATTAGATTTAGAAGGAAGAGAGGAACAGAAGAAATTGCAGGACGATAAAAATAGAAGGAAAACAAAAACTGCAGTATATAAAGACAGAGAGAGAAAATGGGTAGCAAAGATTACCAACTTCCTGTGAAGCCGAAGGAACGGATTGTGTTATGATGAGAAAAATAATGACAGAAGACATGAAGCAAAGGGTAGGCCTGCATAGATCCATGCCGATCCTCTCTCTACACAATGTGTCTCTCGCTCTAACTCGAACGAATTTGTAAGCATTTATAGCCTCGCCCTTGAGCATGTAATGCATATATGCCGTGCACAAAGATTTGGTCGGCGGGTTCTTCTTTCGTAGACGAGGAATTGATACCGATAAAGCAACAATAAACTATGATAGGGTTTTCAAAATCCGTACCACCCGTGATGACTTCAATGAATTCTCTATTATTGTTCTTTTATTCTTTTCTTGTGTTGGGACTAATAGGGTATATCTTTCAGGCTTTTTTTTTCTTTTAAAAAAGTAATTCAATGGGGAAAGTGTGAAACCATGCCATCTAAATGTAAAAGGTGCAGTAGCGCCGAGGCTCTAAACAATTAAAGTAAAACACATTTTCAAATAGGGTCGAGAAATCTTACTCTGGTCCTTGTGCTAATACAATAGTCAATGAAGTAGAAGCTAGCGGTTTATTGGAGGGAATTAAATTGCTTTTAAATTTTGATACAGAAAAGGTTATTAAAGGGGATTCAACGAATATTATATCATTGTGTAATATAGAAGCGCGAGCTCTTTGGAGACTCTCTTCCCTTTTTCATGAAATTGGTGACGTTCTTCAGTCACTTGATGTTGAAATACTTCATTGTTACCATGAAGCAAATGCTGAAGCTGATTCTATTGCCAAGGGTGGTCCTTTTCAATCCTCATTGGTGATTACCAAATTTGTGTGATGTATCTTTATGTATTTCGTTCCCCTTGTAATTTCACTTTTTTCCATAAAAGTCATGTGTTAATGTTAAAAAAAACTAGTTTAAATATTGGAAATATATGTAATAACCTTAAAATATATTTTTTATCTTTAATTATAAAATTTAAAGCTTCGGAAATGGTCTAGATCTAGCAGATCTATAACAACATGAAAATCTTGAAAATTGATGGTCCAAAAATGCGTTACAAGATGCACTATTTTCGAAACTTGAAATCCATGTTTTTCTCATGTCCATGCATCTTGATGCTGAGTTGATCAATTTGAGGATATTTGGGCATCAAAACAACTTCTTCTAGTGAAATTTTTGATATGGGCTCTAATTTGATAGTTCAGAGCTTCGGCTCTATAGGAACTTTTTTTAATTGTAAAAGCAATAATATAAAAAATAGGGAGATTTACATACATACAGGGTTAAATTTATAGAATTACCAAAATCTACTAAATTACTCTTTGATCGATATTTTTAGAATTTACATTGAGATTCATCTTTTTGTATTGAGTGGAAATCAGTTTGGAAGACTCTTTGAACATAGAAAAACTGATGTTTTTTATTTCAATAAATATACCCAAGTAGTATGAGGACAATCATCAATAAAAGTAACATAATGTTTACAACCATCATAAGAATCGACTGGGGTTGATCCCCACACATCAAAATGTATCAAATAAAGTGGTTCCTTTAAAACATGTACAGAAGACTAAAAAGGAAATATTGTATGTTTTGAGACTTTTGAAACTTAACAAGAATGAGAGTTTAAAGATAGAAAATGCATTACGATTTTTCAAAACTTTATCTGAAGGGTGTCCAAATCTTCAGTGCCACAATTTATTAACATCAAAATTATCTTGACTGGCAACCAAAGCCTTATTCTCTTGATTAAATGATTTTTGCCCATGAGACAATCTTCCTTCACCAATCTTCTTCCCTGTGGCCCGGTCTTGGAAAATCACAGAGTTGGGAGAAAAAATAACATTGCAATTCATGCTTTGAGTAATTTTACTAACAGACATCAAGTTTGAAGAAAATGATGGAACAAAAAGGACTTCAGAGTTTTGTGACTTGGAGAAGAAATTGATCTTACCAACACTATGGATATGAATTAAAGAACCATTAGCAATAAACATAGGATTTATATTTTTATTATTTTTTAGGTTAGATAGACACTACAAATTACCAGTCATATTAATTGTGGCCCATGAGTATACTATCACTGAACCAGACAAAGGTTCGATGGGAACAAATCCAGCTATGGAGTTATCAACGCTCAGCAATAAAACAACCTGCTCTAATACCATGTAGAATTTACAATAAAAGAAATAGTGTTGAGAGAGAATAACCAACAATACATATATATGGTTCGGCCGTGATGCCTACGTCACCCGGAAGTAAACCAGTATC